CCCCCACCTCCCGCCGGCCGCCGCAACCGCCGATTCCTCAGGCAGGCTCCGCCGAAGCAGTCCCCCATGGCCCAGGGCAAGAAGAAGAAGGCGGCGGCGTCCAAGCCCCGCAAGCCGAAGCAGCGCGACGCAGCGGTAACGACCGATGCGTCGCCTCCGATTACTGTGTCGATTTCCCGGGGCCGGAGGATTCAGGCCGCTTCTTTTCTTTTTTCTTTTTGCTCTGCAGGAGAAGAAGATCGGGAAGAAGGCTGACATGTCGGAGTTCAGGGCGCAGCTGGGCTCCTTCGGGCTCAAGATAGTCGAGGTCACCGCCGACGGCAACTGCTTCTTCAGGTTTTCTTCAGATTCTTTGCTCCTCTTGATAAAAAAAAAGATGGCTGCTGCGGCTGTCTCTTTGAGTTATATGACTACTCATGGTAGTCTGCAGGGCGATGGGCGACCAGCTGGAGGGCGACGAGGGGCAGCACATCAAGTACCGGGAGATGGTCGTGCACTACATCCTGGTATATATATATGCAGTCAGACGAACTCTTTGTGTACTGTAGCAAGTAACTACTTCCAAATTGCAATGCCAGTTAGGATTTCACGGTGGGGTAATTAGGCGTGACGCGGAATCGCTGAAGGTGCGCAGGGCTATGACACTTTGTGATGATCCTTGTTGCGTCCAACTTGCAGGAACACCGCGAGGAGTTCGAGCCCTTCATCGAGGACGAGGTGCCGTTCGATGACTACTGCGACTCCATGATGAAGGACGGCACTTGGGCCGGCAATATGGAGTTGCAGGCGGGGTCTCTTGTCACGGGAAGAAACATCTGCATCCACATGGTAATTAATTTTCAGTGCAAGATTGCCTTTCTGATCCCTGTGATTTATTTATGCAATAGAACCTTTTATAGTTTGTAAGATCAGTAGTATGCCACTTTTTATGCACTTCAATTCGATGCTATTTGATGCAGGATTTTCATGATATGACTTTTGATTCACAGCTGTGTCATTACTGTTTGTTTTACAGCTTAACTCGCCGCGGTGGTACATAAACAACTTCTCTGGCCGTGAAGCTAGCAATATGGTTCATTTGTAAGTTAACATATTATTATGTGATTGAGCTGTAACTAAACTGTTATTATTGTTCGTAGTGGACATAGTTCTCATATTATGTGATTGAGCTGTAACTAAACTGTTATTATTGTTCGTAGTGGACATAGTTCTCATGTTACATCTAATTTGTGTGAATTTAGATCTTATCATCACGGTGAGCACTACAATAGTGTCAGGCTTACTGAAGATCCATGCCAAGGTCCTGCAATGCCAGTTGTTATCAAGGTCTTTTACTGTGAAAATTGTTAACAGTTCTGTTCTATTCTGTTCTGTTCTGGGAGAACAATGGACTACTGTTGTCTTTGGGGACCACTGACTATGCTTTTACTTACTGTGGTCGATTTATGTTTTTTATTATTAAATTGCAGACAGATTCCAATGTAGCCAGCACCAGCAACAATGCTCAAACGAAAGCGAAAGACTCAAAGAAATCTTCAAACAGATCAGCCTATGATGATACATCAGTTAAAATGGTCATGGCTGGAACTGGCTGTTCTAATGTTGCTGCTGTTCAACATGTATGAATTGCATGGTTAACTTTGAATATTGCACTGCATGTGTGCACTTGATTTACGTTGATTGTTAACAGTCATTATCTTTGGACGGCATTAATAATTCTTTTGCAGGTTTTGGGTGAAATGGATGGCGATGTCGATTCTGCTATTGAGTACATGATAGCCGAGCGACATGTGGCGGCCTATGATGATACATCGGTTAAACTGGTCATGGCTGGCACTGGATGTTCTAGTGTTGCTGCAGTTGAACATGTATGAATTTTATGATTAATTGCCATTATTGCATTGCATTTGTGCATTTGCTTTCTGTGATTGTTAGCAATCATCATCTTTGGACGTCATTAGTAATTGTCTTGCAGGTTTTGGGTCAATTGGATGGCGATGTTGATTCTGCTATTGCGTACATGATAGCCGAGCGATTTGCAATGAGTTCTGATAATGTGGACGGAGATCCTTATATGGACTATGCATGCAACGGTGAGCCTTGAACCACTCGTATATGGCCTCTGTCTTCACAACAGTTTTACATCGTAATGCCACTATCTAACCCATTTGTGATCTTGATGTGGATCACCATATTGGACTTGGGGTGGCTTCTAGTAATTGATATCCCCATCTTTACAAAAGACTTAGAACTGATGACATTTACTATAAAAAATCGCTATTTTGGTTACAAGTGCAGTTTTTAGAGTGAAGTCCTGTTCCAGTATTCTTAGCTTTTTGCCAAAAAAAAAATCCAGTGTTATTGGTCCGGTTCACTTAATGTTGTAAGCATTTCTCATTCACACCTGAAATTTCCAAAGGTTTTAATACTGTAGAAAGCTGATTGGTGCTATAGCAATCTAGATGTTCTGGGTGTGTGCTACACGTAACGATCTGCTGCTTATTATGAAGAAAACACTCCTTTCTAGAATCATTGTGAACACAATACTGTCAAAAGATGGTTGGGAATGCTCAATCATTCACTGGTTTTTGCCAAAATATAGGCTACTTTGCTGTTCTGCATGCATTTTTCATATGTTAGTTAACATTCATATAATTGGTGGGTCTGTACTAGAGTTGTATGTGATAACCAGAAATGTTGCGCTATAGACTTTTTGTGGGTACAAATTGCTATTTTTTGGTGAATTTCTGGTTGTTGTGATGGCAAGGTAATAGATGTTTCGGTGATATCTGAGAAGGACTGTAGTGTAGACCTTGAATAAATACTTACAAAAGTCAACACTTTTAGGCTTTTAGCTTCTATCTGAGTTGCCATCCTTGTTCGACTAAGGTTTGGTTCTCTAAATTGGTTTCGAGCTGTTAAGGAACTAATATATTTTACAGGGTCTGATTAAGTGTCAGTAAATAGTAAGGTGAAGGAAAATTTTAGTGTACTAGGTACATTAGTGTCAAGTCCCCAGAAATCTCCCATGTAGGAATTGTAGGATTTGTTCTTTTATCGCATTGGGAGGTTCTGAATTCCTGAATTAACTAATTCAGGAACAGTTGGATACTGACTCGTTCATTTACTGTGCATATTTCCTGGATGATCAGAGTTTGTATATTCCGTAGGAGATGAGCTTAAGCTTAGCACATCCCAGAACGAGGACCCAACGGTTGAGCACAAGGAGGAAGAAGAGAGTTGTTCTAGTAAAGACGAAGCGGCTCAGAAATCCAAAAATCCACATGCTAAGAAGGTAACTACCATGTGGACATGTCTTGACTAATGTTCCCAATGTTAAATTGCCTTAAAAAATTCTTCAACTATGTTTATTGGATAATAATGCGAATTACCCCTTCCTTGTGCTTTTTTACAGGAAAACTCAAAAACCAAGGAGTGCTCTTGTGGATCTGCAAAGAAGCACAAGGCTTCTTGTAGTTTAGCCACGGCTGTACCGTCGAAAGAACCTCCAAAGTATGACTTCTGAATGTTCCCATCCTCTCTTAGTCTTCTAACTACTTGTGAGCTTCTTTTCTGTTTCTTCCATGGCAAACATTCTTCTGATAATTTCTGCTAGAAAAACAAAAAACATCTCCAGGGTCCTTGCATGCCGCGTGTCCACTTGTTCTATGCTGATTATGAAGTCCAAACAGTAGTTTGATGAAAAGAAAAGGCTCTTAGAACACATTTTCATGTATTGAGTAGCGCCAATATTCATCTGTCAAGCACTCGTTAGATCACATTTTCATGGTTACCATCAGTTACACATTTACGTCCAACAAACAAAGCCCTTTTGAGAGATTATCAGTAAGTATAAACCTGCTAATGCCCGCCTATGTTTGCTTGACGCCATCAGGAACAAAGGCGGCGGCCAAGCGAAGGGCCAGAAAGGGAAGGCGAAGCAAAAGAAGAAAGAACCAGTCCAGGCAGCGCCCGTAAAGGAACGCAAGTCTGCAGTGCCTCTACCAGACCTAGGGGCCCTGTGCATATAAAAACTCGTCAATGTCGAGCACACTCTATTGAGTCATAGGTTTCGAAGAGATGCTTGTGCTCGCCTTGCCATGCCTGAAGCGCGAGGCGTGGGCCGACGGGGTTGCGATGATTCCTCTCGCTCGATCGGTATCATCGGGCGAATGCCAGCCATTGCTGACTGACATTTTGCTCTTGTGATCCTAGATCCTAGCAGTAGGAGGATGTATAGTGGCGACGATGATGTCTGCTAATGGGCGCGGCATTCACATGGGCACATTTTATACGACGCTGATTTCCATTGGTTGTGATCAGTGAGTATGCATTATCGTCATTGTGATTCAGTTGTGATCAGTGCTATACTGATGCGGACGAAAGAGGCATAAATAGCCCTTTGATCTTCGGAAGTGTTGCTCTAATCCCAAGCACAAATGCACAAACTGTAAATTCCACACACACAAAAAAAAGGATTAAAGATCAAAAAACAATCCTAATATTTTTGTGGATGAACATCAACAAATATTCTGACATTTCTAGGTGACTTTAGTTTTTACAGGATGTTTGAACATATGTTGTTGTCCATCCAAAAAATCATATGTAGTATTTGCGAACCAACCCATCGGAGTTCAAATCTTGGTGCGCGCATTTATTTCTGGATATATTTCAGGATTTCCGGCGATACGCATTCGGCGGGAGGAGACGTTCCCGTCGACGACACGGCGACTTTGTAAATTTCAAGATGATATGCCGGCTCGGTCTTTCAGAGGTGCTCATAGGGGTAGGGCGTGCGTGTGTGTGTTCATAGGGGTGAGTGTATGCACGTGTTCAAAAAAGAAAGTTGCGTAGTATTTTATCGAATTTTACATGATGTTAGAAATTTTACATGAATCATTTTGTTTATTGAGTGTAATTGGCATCACTTGATGCTCTAGAGCAAAGTTTACCACCAGAGGACCACGCGGCTTGAGCAAAATTTGCATCATCAAGTTTTCTTTATACATCTACTAGAGCAAATCTGGAGTAAAAATATTTGCATGTACATCATCTATTGAAGTATTTAAGGAGGCCTTTTTGCCATCTCATGATGTAAAAATGTGATCCCGAGCTATTCACATCATCTATTAGAGATATAACACGGTGTAATTTATCAATGACCTGGCTCGGTTGCTGCTGGTTATATCTCAAGTCGCTCAAGCGTCGTGTGTCCCAGTGAGAAATGTGGAACATCAATCGGGTTTGCTACTTATCATCGTGGCGTGGTGCATCTACATAGTGCAAAACATACTCTCAAGTCTGAACATGATGCCAGGCCGCAACAGAGAGTTAGACCAAGCACCAACTTGACGTCTCAGTCGTAGCATGTACGCAGTGCCAAAGGATGCAGACAGACAAGTGCACGATTTTTTTTTATTTTTTGCTCGTTTAACGACTATAAAGTTCCCTTCCGGTAAAAATTGGACTACAAAAGCGCTACAAAGATCCCACGGTGATGTTGTTCTTCTACACACAGTAACTTGTCAAGTTTCTGATCACAAAAAGGGGAACATCATAATGAGAGACAACTAATAAATCCTGGAAGGCAGGCGGCCTCCTCTCATCCTTCCTCGCCATCCATCTAGAGCTCATCCTGCAAAAGCAAATCGCAAGGCAAGGCAGGGTGAGCAAACAAGAACAGGAGAAGAACAGATTATAAAACGGAAAACGCTGAATGAAAGGGGGCAACTTACGTGCTTCTCGTCGTCAGACTCCGCATCAGACCCAGCCTTGTCATCCTTGTCCTCGTCGTCGGCTTCCTCATCCTGTCAACAAAGACCAGATAAGTTTAGGTCTGGCTGATCAAGAATGTTCTGAAAGGTAATAACATTAGGATTCTTCAGGCCAAAGCTTACATCCAAGTCATCATCGTCCTCACCAGCCTTGGAAGCATCCTGGTAACAAACAGGTAACATTGTTAGTCAATAACAATGCTCGACAAACCAGACAACAAATAATAGTAATAATAATAGCAATTAAGGGCAGAGATTTCCAGCTAGGTGTTGACGGGCGTAACACAGCACAGATATATACCAGAAACAGATGATACTGTCAATTAACGCATGTATCTAGCTAGAGGCATCCGTTTGAGCAACGAGCGAGTATACTGTTCAAATTTAATTGCTTCTGCAAGACCAACAGGAAACTATGGCATAATGCACCGAAGAAAGAGAGAAGGGAAAATGCCCTGTAAACTGATGCACAGATTGATATGCAGCGATAAACAGGGTAACAAAACAGAGCAAATCACACTTTAGCTGATACCCATGCAGCAATTAACCAGGCAAACATTAATACGGCCAGGGAATTTACCTCCTCTTCCTTCTTCTTTTCAGCAGCGTCGAAAGCAGCCTTCTCAGCCTGCAAGTTGCAAGATTCAGCGTCGTTAGTACATGATGGATCAACAATCAAATGTCTATGTGATAGATGATGCTACGTAAAATGTAACATACCTCCTTATGCTTGGCCCAGGTCTCTTCGGCAAATGTCTTGGCCAAAGCAGCATCGTCGGTGATGAGAATGTTGTCAAACAAAGTTCCTGACTTAACCTGCAGACATAAGAAAAGGAATGAATATTTGTTCCGTCTTCCTGACAGATTTGACAGAGTTACTTGGCAATCAGAACCTACCTGCCACAGCTCAATTCCGATGTACTTCAGGCTGTTGAAAGCATAGATGTAAGGATCATCCTTGAAGTCTGTGAAGCACAATAAAGATATATGAGCATTAGTCATATAATTCAGTACCCAAAACATTTCATAACCAGATATTCAATCTGAGACACTAGGTCCTGTTCCAGGTAAAAATATACCTGGGTTGGCAATCATAGGTGCCTTCCATTTGCCCTGGTAGTTAGGGTTCTTGATTTTCTGGCATATGAAACACAGTTTATTAGACATCGCAATATGCATTGCTAATTAACGTGTTTCTGAATAGACAGAAAAAACAGGCATACCTTTTGCTTCCATGGGCCCTTGTACTCTGGGTTGGGGATGGTTGGGGCAGTCCATTCACCATCTTCCTCATCATCCCAATCCTCAGGCTGAAGTAATCACAGCAAGGAATGTTAAAACACATTGTTGTACATCATATCAGATACAATGAAATATCAAGCTACACTTCTACCTTCTTAGCATCAGGATCGGTGACCTCCTTGGGAATATCATCGTAGCCCTGAAAATGACCAACTATGAGTCATATACTCAAATATATTGCACAAAAAGAAGATATGGGGATTGTTTCTAACTGCACTGTACAAGGCACAAAAAAAGGAGCTACTAGAGAACACAAATAAATCTACATCTAACTGAGAAGTGGCCAGTGGCATTAATACAAAGCGCTAGTAATGATCACTCATTATTCATCACTTCATGCTATTATCGATATGGTAGAAGGAAAGAAAACTACCTCTGGCTTGACATCCTCAGGGTCAGGAATGTACTCCTTGTCATCCCAGTCCTCTGGCTGCAATCACAAAACACATCAGCTTCTGGCACTTGAAAAGAGCAAGCACCAAAAGTATAAGCAGATTCGACAATGTACCTTCTTAGCTTCTGGGTCCTTGATTTCCTTGGGAGGAAGAATATCCCAGTGCTCGTAGATGCTTCCAGTTTGCTTCTCTTCGTTGTCAATGAGAATGCTGTATGTAGCATCAGGGCGGATGATCAAAGTGTACACGTGCGACAGCTGATCAGTCTCGCAAGGCACGTCCTTCTTGATCAAATGGTTCTTGCCATCCTTGGTAAGGATAGTGTGAACCTTCTTGGTGCTGTACCCACAGATATCTGGTCCAAACATAATGCTGCAGGACAGAAGTACAAGTTCAGTAAACTAAGCAGAGGGAGGCACATCAGCACAAGAACAGAAGGCAACAGCTACCTGTAGGGCGTGTCACCACCGAATTTCTTCTGGTCAACATCACCTCCAAGCAACTTGACGTAACCACCACCGCAGTCAAGCTTCTGCTCATGCTTCACCGTGAACTGCAGCACGAGTGTCTTGTCCTTGTTGCTGAACTCAGGGTACTCCGCCGAAATGGCGTAGAACCTGTAGTCCTCTGAGGTTTGGATACCTACATCAAGATTCAAGAATCAAGGTTTCATCAGTAAACTGTAAGAAAGAAATTATCAAGTCAAAGTTTCCTTGAATGATGTGGAGAGAACTTTGGGTAATTCACCTTTGTCCTCAGCATCTCCGTGCCATTTTCCAGATGTGTGGTTCCATTCACCAGCCATGTTCTCGTCCTTCTTCCACTCAGACTTGACCCACCGGCTTTCCCAACCATCTGATCAGGCAATAAAAATCCGTCAAGAATGCTTAAATTAGCTCAAACTAGCAGGATAAATATAAGAATAGGATTTAACTGCCCAGGTTCTGTAGAGTGCTGACATGAGCTGACAGAGCAATGCCGTTTATACTATGTCCTATTTATAGATCCGACAGATACTATATGAAACTGGGACGATCTATCATGACAACACTCGAACTGAAATGGTGTGAATGACATAAACTTAACAGCGTCTACAATTCACATGTGGACCACGAAAGATCTTAAACCCTGAACCTAGATTGGTTTCGTTTCGCCAGTACTAAAACCCGCATGATTATACACCAGCTACGCGCACGAGCAACGGCTATGAGATCAGACCTGTCACCGCATTCACGTCATAGAAGAACAGACTAGTCCAACCTAGCGTCAGATTCAGATCCTCCAGATCACAGCAGCAACTACCCGAAAACGGAGAAGGAAGCGCAAACTCGCAGACAATTCAACATGAAGCAGCACAGCACTAGTAGATCCCTAACAACCAGCAGCGAGGACCGAAATGCGGCCAAGCCCCCGCAGATCACGGATCGGAACAAGCCAACGCCAGCAGCTCAACCACCACTATAGCACGACACAGCACTCGAGATCGGAATCGGGTCGGGGGTAGCGGCGGGCGGCGAGCTCACCTTCGAACTTCTCCTGGAAGAAGACGTCGGCGGAGACGGCGGCGACGGAGGCGAGCGCGAGCAGGGCGAGGACGGCGCAGGAGGACCCACGGCGGATCGCCATCTCGGGCGGCGGCGCTCACACCCACCAGTCGTCGAGAGCTCGTGGAAGCTTTTCCCCGATCCGATCGGAACCCCTTCCCTTGCCCTATCGGTTTCGCCGGGGAGCTGCTTAATAGGGGCCCCGAGGCTGACGCACGGGTGCCACGCTGGCACCGCTGGCCTGCGGTCACTGGCCAATGGCGGGCGCCGGCTCGGGGCGTGAGCCAGTGGGAGCGCGCCACGCGGACGTTTCGACGTGTTTGGGGCGCTCGGGACGTGGAGGGCCGCGGGCCCTGCTGGCCTACCGACCCAGCCCGAGGTTCTTTGGGGGGTTTGGCCGGCCATTTTGGCGAGTCGCTGCTGCGCGTGCGTGCGGGCGGGCGGCGCTGGGCTGGAAATGGTAAAATGCGGAGTTTCTTGGGTCAGATGCGAATATGCGGGGCGATCCAGGTCGTGCCAGGGCGTGGGCGGGCGGATAGGATGGGTTGGGGAATCCGATGGGTTGGTGATCGGTGCGTCACCGGGTCGTGTAGGGTGGGGCCACATGTCAGTGGGGCGAAAGCAAAATCATAGATCTGGGATGGATGGCCTGACAATGGTAAAATAATACAGAGTTTATTGTTGCGTTTTGGTTGTTTAGGCCCCTTTTGATAGCTCAGTAATTTTTGCAGTATTCTAAGAATACTGCAGTTTTTCAGATTACCATGGTTTTAATTGCAACGTTTGGTGTTTGACTGCCCCTAACAACAGTTCTTTTAAAACTGTAGTACTCCATTCGTCTAGGTGAGTAAGTCATCTTAGATTGTGCACCATGGCCAAGGAGGAGGGGAAAACGAGAGAACTTAATGTTTATTTGCTAATTAATAGCATTACATGCAATGAACTAACCACTGCATGTCGTGTTTGGTAGTCTCAAGTCAATAAAAGTATGCACACCCCACATCTCTTATTGGTTGATATGTCAAGAAACAAGAAACGAGGTAGAATTTAATGCACTGCGCCTAAGTGTTTTGGGATTATTTGGTTTTCGTAAGATGACTTACACACCTAGACGGAGGGAGTATTGAGCAAACTGTGGTTTTTTCTCTGTATAAAAAAAACTCCAGACCTTTTTAAAAAAAAACAGAGCAGCGTTGTTATCTTCTTTCCTCCTGTGCTAACAAGTCGCTCGATCTAAAAAAGACGCATCGCCTGGCGAGTAAACCGGCGACGCCGTGCTGCAGGTGGACTTTCTCAAAATATACAAGATATCGTTTCGTCGTCTGTGCATGCTCCTCAGTTCATATGGACGTGAATGCCTACCTAGATTAGCGCAACAGAAAGAGCACACAACCGGCCAGCTGTGCATGTTTTTGCATTGCTACCATAATGGCTAGGTAGATGCGACTGCCTAAGGGCTAGTCAGCAAAGTTTACATTATTAGACTAGCTACAATGGTGAGTAACATACACTAGTAACATACACATATCCCTAGATTATGTTACTCCCTTCATAGTGAGTAGTAACATAAGAGCATGCTTGGATACGTTTTAGTCCCATGACTAAAAGTAGTGGGACTAAAACTTGCTAGTCTCACCCATGCTTGGATTCAAATACTAAAGAGATTAAAATCTAGTTATTGAGCATTTATTATCCTCCAAACCCTCCAATCCAGAACTAAGGAGAGGAATTAAATGAGGAGAGAGAGAGCTAATACATATTTTAGTAGGTTTCTCATGACTAAAAGATTTTAGCCTCAAGACTAGTTCTAGCCTCTCTTTAGTCAGGGGTGCTTGGAACTTTAGCCTCTAAAAGAGACTATTTTTAGTCAGACTAAAAATAGTCCCTTGTATCCAAGCACCCTCTAAGTGTGGTAACATGCAAAGCTTCATTTATTAGGTTATAGACTCATATTGCATTGGGACATGTGATGTTATAGTAACTAGCTAAGTTACTATAACTACCTCTCTCCTCATTAACTCACTGCCACATAAGAAAATTTGCTGAGTTGGACTCGATGTTACTGCTGAAGTTACTCCCAGTGTGGCTAGTCTTATGTGTTGTAGCCAAACACGTGCTCTGTATTCTGAATACTCCGAAAAACTCTGTTAAATGAAAACCATTGTTTTGGGTACCTACCGGCTAAATTATTGCAGTTTTTGATACTTTAGTTTTTCTAATACTTTACTATCAAACATAGCCTTAACCTAATCGATTGATTTTTTTAAGACAGTTCAGATGCAAGCGCTCATATACACGCGCATACACTCACCCTATGACGCACACACGCACACTCTACTCTTACGAGCACCTCCCAAAGACTAAGCCGGTATATCATCTTTAAATTTACAAAGTCGTCGTAGGCACCTCGTCGTCGACGGGAACGTCTCCTCCCACTGAATGCGCATCGCCCGAAATCCTGAAACCAATCCAGGAATAAATGCGAGCACCAGGATTTGAACCCTGGTGGGGTTTTTTTCGGGTGGAAATATTGTATTACTCAAGCCATCAAAGAGTTACAATGAGCGGTGACTAGCTCCAGCACTGTCGGGGGGCTTGAACCAATCCAAGTCATGGTTCTTCCCTCGGTACGAGCAAAGTTTGCTAGACTATCACTAACCTGATTTTGACTTCGGTTTACATGAGTAATACAACTTTCACGGAGAGATAAGAGATATCTAATCTCTTTGACTAATGAAGCATAAATAGACCTATATTTATCTTGCTCTTGGATCAACTTTATAGCAATAAGTGAATCCATCTCAATGGCCATTGGACGATCACTTCACTAGATCGCTAGAGATAACCCTTCCATCCAAGCACACAACTCTGCCTCCAGAGCTTCACAACACGAGTAGAGTGTTCTACATGCTGAAAAGATTACGCCTCCCAAAGGGTCCCCACTAGTAGAAAACAGGGCATACGTTTGGGCCAGATAAGCCCATTAGTCCCGGTTCAATCACGAACCGGGACCCATGGGGGCACTAGTCCCGGTTCGTGTCTCAAACCGGGACTAAAGTGTGACGCCCGGGTAATTAAGCTATAGTAACCCTCTACTAATGATGCCACATCACCACGATTACTATTGTTAGTTTCATGATGATTCAAATCTCGTTTGAATTCAAAATCAAAATCAAGCCAAACAATAAAAGTTTTCAAATATTAACACTAAAGTGTTCAAAATGTAGAAAATAAATCACAGATGATTATTGTGGTGAAACCACACTTTTATAAAATATTTAAATACTCTAAAATGATATAAATAGTAGCAAAAACAACTATTTAAACGCCTTTGGTATTTATACTAAACTATTTTATATCGGGCCAAAACTTTTTACAGTAATGGATTGTTCTGAAACGTTATTTTAGGGGCTATAGTCATATTTTACTAAACTAAAATTAATATGTAGCTAAAATAAA